CTTGCCAATTTTGAAGTTTTAGATGTGTCAGATACAGAAGTAGAATCCACATTTTCTTTAAAACAAAATTCCTAAATCAGTGACCTCCTTGGGTTTATTTTTAAAAATCTTTTATTGGATTATATAGGTAAAAGTACTTCCAGGAAAGTTGGAAATTAAAGGAGGATAAAGCAAGGTTTCATTGCTAGGCTACCACCGTTAATATTCTGGGCACATTTCCTGGGCAAATAATTTGGGCAAAGTCTTTTTCTATGTATGTTTTTACATAATTGATATAATTTATTACTCCCCTCAAGTATTTCTCCATGCAATTGTATATATACGCAAAGATATATTCAGTGGGTTTATAGGATGCCACCATTTAGATGTAGCAGACAGTTTTAGCCATTTCTCTGATTCTGGATGAGTAAGTTTCAGTGAGTTTTTCACCTGTGTGGATACTGCTGTGATGAACATTTTCATGCATGTGTCTCCCTCATGGGCTTGATCATTTCCTAGATTCTTAGTAATGGACTCACCTGTCATCCCTTCATTTTCTTCTGCTGTGTGATCTCTTTAATCACAGCTACCTTCTTTGAAGTTCTCTATATGAACTGTCCCCATTTCCTGCCTAAAACCTGGCTTCCAAGCTTTTGGGGTTCTAAGACACTAGAGTTCTTGTCATGATCTTCAAGGCCAGTGTGGACCTGGCCCTCCAAACTACTTCCTTTGGTCCCAGTGTCTCTGGTTCTAACTTACTGGCTTCTCTCTCCTTCCCCAGCCCTGAGGCTGTGAGCCTGGGTGTCCTCTCTCCAGAGCAGTCTCCCTCTCCCCAGACCTGTCTTTGTGTAAAATAGGAAAGGATATATCTGCTTAGAGGTGGTGGGTGGAGGTTTAAGGAAAAGCAAAGGTACCAAAAATTCATTCAGGAGAGAGAGAAAAGAATTGACCAGAAACAACAAAGGGTTTCTAGAAAACAAGGAGGCCCCCTTTCATGGTATGTTCAGAGTTCAGATGATGAGAGCAGGTCAAGAGAAACGTGACTGGATCCAGAGCTGGAATCACCTTTAGCTTCTAGAGAAAAGAGCTCCCTTAACCTAAGTCGGCCTGCTGAGTTCAGGAGCTGCTTCTTGATGTTGGTTTTCTAGTTTTCTAGAGGTGTCCTTCCTCTTCTTTGCTGATGTGCTTCATATGAATGACGGCACATTTTGTCAGGAGCATAAATTGAGGACTTCGCAAATAAGCACTCTAGGATCATTGGAAGCCTTAATGTGAAAATCGTCATTTCTGGGTTTCTTTGGAAAACTGTAGTGATGCTGTGTTTGAGAGAGTTCCGACGACGTGGCTATTTAGATGTAAATTAATGAAAGTTTGAATAAAACTGAAAATATAGTTTCTCAATCACATTAACTATACTTCAATAGCCACAGAAGGACAGTGGAAATAGAACATTCTCATCATTGCAGAAAATTCTTTTAAAAATTCTTTCGAAAAGGAAAAATTTCTTTCACCTACCTCCTCTAAGCAGATCTCTCCTTTCCTATTTTACACAGAGACAGGTTTGGGGAGAGGGAGACTGCTCTGGAGAGAGGACACACAGGCTCACAGGCCTCAGGGCTGGGGAAGAGGTGAGGAGCCAGTAAGTTAGAGCCAGCGCCACTGAGACCAGAAAATTCTTTTGGAATTTTCTCATAAAGCGCTGATCCAGAGAGTTGAAAAGGGTCTAACTAAGTCATCTCAGACTCTAGTCTGTACATACAATGGTGATTCAGGGAAAAAAAAATCAACAGATAATTTTAGCCTGGGCTAGTTTGTTACTATTTCCTATGCACAGTTTGCTAGTTCATCTAGTTTTTTTTTCCCCAGTAGATACTGCAATTCTCCTTTCTGGCATTCCCAGTCATTGACAAAATTCAGTGAAGAAGCCAGCCTCCCTGGGTCCACATACCCCTGCGCTTCTGTTGCCTATGTACTTATCATGGTCAAGTTGACCTGGAGGACTTACAGACCAAGCAGATACCCTGGCTGAAGAATAAGGGCTTGTCAAAAACTCTGTGGGTTTTACTTATATTCTACTGATAAATCTCATAAATGTGAGACTGGCAGCTTCCTACCATTTTTAAGGACCCAATAAGTAAAGTTCTGCTCCTAGATGAGACACCAGGTCTTTCTTTTCTTTTCTTTCCTTCTTTCTTTTTTCTTTTCTTTTCTTTCTTTCTTTTTTTTTGAGAGAGTTACTTTGTTGCCCTAGGTAGAGTGCCATGGTGTCATAGCTCACAGCAACCTCACCCTCCAGGAAGGCATTGTATTTTATACTTATTCTGGTCTTTCTTACGCATACAGATTCTTTGTTTATCTCCCCCTGCCCCTCAAGTCTGAAGATAAACCTGTCTTTGGGAGAAATGGTTAAAGGGTAAAAGAACTTGAGGCTTTTTGTCTTCCTGCCTTTTCTCTCTCACAGATAAGAGGAGCAGTATTTTCCGGTGGGGTGGGGGGGGGATTATTTTCAGAGTTGTGGCCTCTCCTATTTCTCTGCCCCCCAACCTCCCAGGGGCCTGCTGTAAGCAATGCCGGGAAGGGCTCCAGCAACCTGGGGTGCGTGTGCAGACTAGCTTACAGTAGCCTGCATCTAGAAAAAGCATTGTGGTCCCTCCCAGAGATGCTTCTAAACATAGAACAGTGCTGGCTCTGTGATTTGCTAACTGTGCTAGATGGGAATGAGGCAAGTTCGTTTTGATTGGCTTGCTGTGCAGAAATTTTTAGATGTTGCTATGTTTCAGCAGTCAAAACCCAAATAAAATAGCTTATACTTTATGTAGTCTCCACAGTTTGCAAAATATGTTCCCAAGCATCAATCTGATTTCTGTGATTAACTGTGGGCTGGGAAAGATAGGATCAGAGAGGTAAAGTGACATGCCCAAGGCCACATAGCTAGTAGGTGAGTGAACTGACTTTTCTATCCTAGTTGAGTGCATTTCTGGGAACGTTACTTTTCATTTATACATCATATTTTGGACTCATAAAACATTGAAGCTGGATAATTGAAGACACAAATACAATAGTTGATAAAATAGATGATGTTTGAGTGCCTCTAATTCTAGGGGTTGGAGAAGGGGCTACTCAAGGAGCTTCCTTTGAAACAGGTGAAGAAAGTCATTTAAGGCAAGGAATGTACATTATTTTAGAGCAACATGGGTTAGTGCTTGTACATACTGAACGAATGATAGTTTTTAATGGAAATCTTCCTGAAAGAAAGGGGTTATGATTCAGTCCTGAGGAATGTGCACAAATCCTAAGGGAAGGGCATTCAAGTCAGGTGCAGAAGCATGGGGTAGAGGGCCAGCTTCAGTTTGGTGGAATGCTAAGAAGCAAGAGCCCTTGTTTATTATTTATTGAAAATCTAGCCTGCATAAGACATTGTATAGAGCTGGTGTTACCGTGGTGTGAAGAAGAGACCTGGTTCATGCTTTGTATTGCTTAAGACTTTGCAGGGAGACACTCATTATTGATTGCCGATTAGTAAAATATACACGTATTTCCAATTCTGATTGTTACTATAAAGGAAAAGGACAGGATTCTATGAGAGTTATAGTACAGGGACTATCAATTCGTTGCTCGAATTGGAGCAACATTTGTGCTGATACGTGAAGGGCAGGAGTGAACTAGGGAAATAGTTTTGGGGAAGGAAACAGGGAAAGGAAATCTCGGGAAAACAGATGGAACATGTGCAAAGGGCCGGGGGTACTGCAGAGCTACAGAAGGCTTGTGTCCCAGCGTTGTGAGAGTGGAGGGGTGAATGGAGTGTGACAAGGCTGGGGAGGAGGCACGAGCTTGATTAGATTTGGGCCTTTATTCTGACAGCCACGGGAAACTGCTGAAGAATTTTAAGCAGAGATGACATGATCAAATCTTCCTTCTAAAAAGATCACTTTGGCTAGAATGTGCAGAATGCTTGGGAGGGGTACAAAGTTTTGGAGCAACTGCTTAGGAGGCTACTGCAGTGGTCCAACCTGGAGGTGACAATAGTTTAGTGCAGGGTGGTGGCAGTAGAAATGGAAGGAAATGGAACAAAATTAGAGATTCAGAAGATTGAATCTAAGGACTTGGTGACATGTTAGGTAATAGAGACACAGACACTAAGGATGGCTCCTGAGGTCCAGACGCTCCCATGGGAAGGACAGTGGGCCTGGTCACTGAGAAAGGGAAACTTGGAAAGGGGAAAAAGAAGATGAAATCAGCTTGGATATCAAGGAGCCAGTAGGGTCTATTGGTTCGAAGTTCAAGGTGAGAGGTGAGCTGTAATGAAATGTGTAGGTCATTGGTACGTAACTGATAAGGGAAGCTCTTGGGCATGGATGCGTTAAGAGAGCATTAAGTTATGAAAGAAGGATCAAGCAGTGAGAATGCACCTTGGCCAGGTAGGAGAGAACAAGCAATAAGGCCAGGAGCTGCTGGAGACACAGGGAGAGATTCAGAATGTGCTGGAGTTAACATTCATTGAGGTAGAGTAAAACTATTAAAAAACTGAAAGAGGGCATCTTTCAATTTATCTCCAAACCCATTTCCTCATCATACCCCCAAATCTATCATGTGACAGGTGTGCATCTCTGGATCTGAGGCGCTTGTGTAGTCACTGATACAAGGTTTATTTATTGGTTCATTTATGGCTGTGACAGATTGGGGTGTGTATGTGTGTGTATAAGTGTGTGTGTCTCTGCCTGGAACAATAACCTCCTCTCCTTTCTCCCACGTCACTGCACTTTTGGCTGCCGCTGTGGTTTGTTGCAAATTTGAGCTCATTTAATCCTACGGAGTACTAAACAATATCTGGTCTCAGTGGCTCTGGAATCTGCTCTGGGCACCCCCCTCCCCACTTGCCAGCTGGGATCTCTTAATGAGCTAGCTGCAACACAGTTCAATAGTAAAACGATTTTAGCTGGTGAAATATGTTTGAAGAACTTGCTGTTGGAATGTTCCACGTTAGGCCTGCTTCTATTCTGTTTCTGGCATTTTCTTTTCAGGATGGCTGTAGCTCCTCCGAGTTACTGTTTTGTGGCCTTCCCACCGCGTGCTAAGGATGGTGAGGTGGTATTTGGGAAGAATTCAGCCCGGCCCAGAGATGAAGTACAGGAGGTCGTGTATTTCCCTGCAGCTGATCATGACCCAGAGAGCAAGGTTGAGGTAAGCGTGCGCTGCAGTGTTTCGACTCACACTGCTTCTCTTTCTTGGCTTTGTCAGCCGCACACTGTCACTTTTTTCTTGGAAGCCGATTGTAAGAATTGTCATGTTGGTTCTGCTCCTTCCTGTTTCCATTCAGTTTTGCTCATAGACTTAGAAATAAAGTCATGTGGAGAGTCATAGCCCTCACTGCTATGACCCTTGTTTTATAATTTAAGTAAAATATTTACATGGTTCCAAAGTCAGATCTAAAAAAACAAGGTAGCTTCATAGAAGTGTATCTTTTATACTTGTCTCTCTCACTCCATTTCCTTTTCTCCCTATACGTAATTATGTTTTGGAAGATTTTTGGTTTATCCTTCCATTTAAAAAAATTATGCATAGGGAGGCGCCTGTGGCTCAAAGGAGTAGGATGCTGGCCCCATATGCCGGAGATGGCAGGTTCAAACCCAGCCTCGGCCAAAAATTGCAAAAAAACCCAAAAACAAAACAAAAACAAATTAAGTATATGTGTAATAAAGATGCATGTAGGGGTTGCCTGTGGTTCAAGGAGTAGGGCGCCAGCCCCGCATACCAGGGGCGGTGGGTTCAAGCCCAGCCCCTGCCAAAATAAAATAAAATAAAATAAATATACATGTAATAGATTACACATACATGCATATTCATCCTGGTTCATTTCCTCCTTTCTTAGATTAATAGCAGTTTAGTAGACTTTTTCTTTTTTTCTTTTTTTTTTGAGACGGAGCCTCAAGCTATCCCCCTGGGTAGAGTGCCATGGCATCACAGCTCACAACAACCTCCAACTCCTGGGCTCAAGCGAGTCTCCTGCCTCAGCCTCCCAAGTAGCTGGGACTACAGGTCCCCGCCACAACGCCCGGCCATTTTTTGGTTGCAGCCATCATTGTTGTTTGGCGGGTCCAGGCTGGGGATTCAAACCCGCCACCTTAGGTGTATGTGGCTGGCGCCTTAGCCGCTTGAGCCACAGGCGCTGAGCCTGCTTTGCATTTTTCAACTAAAAATATCGTGGGTTTCACTCTTTACAGAACACATAGGTAGTTTTCATTCCTCATTTAGAACTGTGTAGTGCTGGGTCACAAGGTAAGTAAATGTAGCATTTTGCAGGATTTTGTTAAGTTTCCTTCCAGAGGTGGTGTACCATTTCACATTCTCATTGGCACAGTAGGGCAGTGCCTATTTCTGAGAACTTGTTGTTATATTTTCATGATGGCTATTTTATGTTAATTTTACATTCTGCTATTTTACTAAATTCTTTTGTTGGTTATGTTAGCTTTTATCACTGATTCCTTTGGCGTTTCTTGGGACATTGTTCTATCACCTGCAAAGGGAGATTGCTTGTTCTTACATCTGTAATTATTTTCTTATCTGATTGTTTTGATTTATATCTTGGATCTCATGTTAAACAGTAGTGGAGATAGTGGGTGTCTCTGCCTTTGGGCCTGACCTGTGTGAGGCTGCCTCTAGTGGTTCCTGTTAAGAGAAATAACTGGTTTGGGGACTGAGATTTATATAGTTTTATCAGGTTTAAAAGTATACATAAGCTGGGTGTGGTGGCACGTACCTGTAATCCCAGCTACTCAAGATGCTTGAGTCTAGGAGCTCAAGGCCAATCTGAGCAAAATAGTGAGATCCTGTCTCTAAAAAAAAAAAAAAAAGTGTACATACATTTCTATTTTGAATATTTAAAAAATAACTCAAGAGTAGGTATTAAATTTTGTTGAGGTTTGTCTTAATGATTATGTACAGAGATAATCACCTAATTTTTCTTTCTGTTTATATGATAAAGTGAACCATCTTTGCATTCATGGAATAACCTTCTTGGTGATGATCTATTTATTTAAATTGTGTGTGTATCTGTGTGTAATGTATGTTTAAATGGTAGTTTGTTAAATGAAGAATTTGGGGGGAAAATTGGGGCTGTTAAATGAACAAGTTCTTTCTGTTGACATAACCCCTCCTTTTTGGTGTTCTATGGTTTGCGAAATAAACTGATTTTCTGATGATCATGCTTGGTTTTAAATAGGAATTCATCAAGGTGTATTTTTTTCTTATGTGAATCTTAAATCACTAGCTCTGTTTCAGTTTGTTAAAAGCATTAACCGGCCTGGTGCCTGTGGCTCAAGTGGCTAAGGCGCCAGCCACATACACCTGAGCTGGTGGGTTCGAATCCAGCCCGGGCCTGCCAAACAACAATGACGGCTGCAACCAAAAAATAGCCAGGCGTTGTGGCGGGTGCCTGTGGTCCCAGCTACTTGGGAGGTGGAGGCAGGAGGCTTGCTTGAGCCCAGGAGTTGGAGGTTGCTGTGAGTCGTGATGCCACGGCACTCTACCCAGGGAGACAGCTTGAGGCTCTGTCTCAAAAAAAAGCATTAACCAGCACCAAAGAGCAACATAACTCTACGAGGAGCTGCTTATTTAATAATTAATTTATTTTGAGACAGAGTTTTATTTTGTCACCCTTCATAGACTGCAGGGGCGTCACACCTCACAGCAACCTCAAATTCTTTGGCGTAAGTGATCGTCTTGCCTCAGCCTCCTGAGTAGCTGGGACTACAGGCCCCTGCCATGATGCTGGCCTAGAGCTGCTTATTACAAATGAATTTACCAAAGGCACTGATGTGAGCAGGCAAGATTGAGCGTGACCAGACATGGGCTGTCTGTGGAGAGGGCAGGGACAGACTGTTTTCCACAGGCCTTCCACCAAAACCACTTGCCTTTCTCTTTGAGCCACTAACTTAGCCCAAGCCCCTAAACTGTAGTGGGACTTCCCTTTTGTGTCGGTGAAGAGGAGGTTCTCTGGTGAGCACGTGAGCCTTCATTCATCTGTTAGTGAATACCCATGTCATTTGGGTCTGAATGTTTCTCTCTTTTCCTGGAACACAGTAGACTCTGTGGATGAAGTGCACTGAGTTGTTACTGTCTCTCCCTGTTCATCTTCCCTGATTATTTCTATCTTTTTCCCCCCGAGAGAGATACAAACTGAAATACAACTTTGATTTTCACACGTTTAGATTTAAATTTCCAAAGGTGGAGCACCAAATTCCATGGCATATGCACTTCTTAGGGCCAGCGGAGGGTGAAGGCGAGGCCTGTGCCCTTCACCTGGCCATGAATCTGAGTGAGGGCTTGTGGTTGCTCTGACCAGTGGAGCATGTGGCTTCCAGGCTGGTGTATATACAGCTTCCACCTGTCCCTCTGTCTCCCAGGACTTTAGCCCTAGGAGCCCGGGTGTCCATCATTCTAGGAGGAGCCCAAACTAGCCCACATACAGAGACTAGGTCCCCCAGCAAACAATGAGTATCAACTGTGGACATGTGAGCAAGTGACCTTTCAGGTGGTTCCAGGTGCTGAGCGCTGGAATAGAAACACACTATCCTATCCCTGCTGTTTTCTGTCCAAATTTGTGAGAATAAAAAGAGTGGGGATATTTCATTAAGTAGCCACGGTAACTACATCACACAAAGCTATTTATGAGCATGTCTAAAATAAATAGTCCATATTTCAGAAAAGTCTGTTATGTTTTTTGGAGGATAGGCTAAATAACTCAATATATGGTGTCCGAAAGGTTGCCATACATCAGAAAATTAACAAACTTATATTTTGTATTTTTAATATTTATACATCAACATGTAGAGAAGTATTTTGTAAAATTTTGTAATGAGTATTTTGTAAATAAAGACGCATTTGGATGCAATGTCCTATTTTCCCTATCTTTGGGACACCTTGTATTTTACGCTCAGGGTTACAATTTCTTTTTGGGAAATAGGCTAGATTCATTTTACTAGTCAACTCTTGATATATTGTTACTCAGATACACTGTAGATTAAATCATAGCCTCTTGTATAAATAATTGCACTTCGATATATGCCATAATTAGTCTCTAAGGCAGTGCTGACTTCTTTTCTGAGTTCCATGCCTGTGTTTTAAGCTCCCTCTGTGCATTCCCACGTGCATAACCTAAAGGTGACATAACAAGTCAAAGTCCAAGTTTGTTTCCCCTAGCTCATTCGTCCCTGTGTCTCTGACGTCATCGTTCCCACATACTTTATGCTAGAAACCCGGAGGAAATGTGACCCTTATTCCCTTCCCATCCCAGATACACAGAGACACTTGTCCCTGAATTCTGCTGCTTCCTCTCCTGTGACCCTAATGTCCTCCCCACTGTCCCATCTCATTTAGACTCACCCTATGTTAGTGGACACTTGGACTGTTCCAAAATGTTGCTAGTCCATAGAGTGCAGTGAGAAGAGCTGTGCACACAGGTCCTATAGATGTGCAAGTGTAGCCACTGGGAGCATTTCCAGATGCAGCATCCCTGAGCCAAGGGTGAAGCTCGTGTCCTAACTGCTCTCCATAAGAGCTGTACAAATGCCTGCTGACTTTTCTACCCTCATTCTTAGCCCTGCTGTGATCTTCCTATTGGTCCCTTGTCTTTTTCTCTAGGATTCTTCTCCCTGCAGGGTTGCCAGAATTTTTTCCCCAGAACACAGCTGTGTCACTGCCTTGTAAAATGTTGGGTTTTGTTTATAGGTTGAGAATCCAGGCTGGTTTGTATGCCATTCAGAACTCTTCCTGACTGGCACCCTGTTCAATTTCCCTTTCTTCTCTTTCTTTCTTTTCTTTTCTATTTTGAATTTATAGGCTATTTTTAGAACACTTTGATGTTTATGGAAAAATGAACAGAAGGTACAGAGAGTTCCCATACACTCAATCACCTGCCTCCCAGTTTCGCCTTTTACCAAGCTCTTGCCAAGTGTGTACATGTGTTACAACTGATGAGCCCATATGGATATGTTATTATTAACTAAAGTTCATAGTTCACATTCTTGGTGTTGCATATTCTATGGGTTTTGACAAAAGCATAGGGAGATGTGTCTATCATTATAGTATTTTGGGTGGTGCCTGTGGCTCAGTGAGTGGGGTGCTGGCCTCATACACTAAGGGTGGCAGGTTTGAACCTGACCCCGGCCAAACTGCAACAAAAA